GATCATAAAAACTGAAATTGCAGTTGATTAAATACACGCAGAACCTGATGAATTCCATAGTACAAATCAGAAGATGGAGATTGTAGTCGAAATATGGGAAAAAATAAATGCATCTAAAAAGGAATGCACCTTTTCGTCTTGAATAATTAATTTAAGGGAGAACAGATTGTCTGGTTTATCGTGGTCTAGAACATGTCACAATCTCACTAATCGTACCGTCAAATTCCAACTCATCTTGTTACTCGATATATCATTGGTATAGTTAACTTTTGCCGTCATATTTTGCCTTAGANGCATATCATTTTACTTGCTATAGATAAGAAACAAAATACGTGTGTTTAGGTGCATTAACTTTATGAAAAAGAAATTTTCATAAAAAGAGCCGGAAAAATATGTGATTCAGCCCATAAATGTAAGGGCAAATAGAAATTTGAATTCCAAGCAACTAATATAGGGTTTATATCTAAAATTAAGGAGGAAAGTCATCTGCACAAACATACCTCGAACTGGATTTTGGTTGGAAATGATAAAATGTAATTGCTGCTGGGAAATTATGAATCTTTTCCAAGCAGAAATTTCTCCATTTTAGATAATAACCATTCCGATCTGAGGAGGTCTTTGCGCGTTTCTGATTTTGTAGACATACACTATTTCTTGTTGCTAATTTTCTTCTCATCTTCCATGACCAAGTGATGTTGACAATTGAGTTAAGATGAGAATTTAGAATTTTTTTAGGAAGAGATAGAGATAAAAAACTTTAGTAAACATGAAACATGATTCTTTTGTTTAAGATGTAATGTTTCTGTAATTTTCAATGTTTTTTAATTTATTTAGTTGAAAACATATATAATGGTAAGTGGAATTTTCTAGAAAAGAGGCGATAAATTGGGATGATTGAGTGTTTTTTGGCCGAAAATTTTGTATATTAAAACATTTATTTTAATTGAAATTATAAGTTGCCAAATGTCTTGTTAATAGGTTGCCACTTGACTTTTTAATAACTTGCCCTTGGCTAAATGAGAAGGCAAACTTTCTTGCTTTAATATATATATAGATTTGATACACATATGATACATATGTGATATACAAATGACACACAGTGTGATACACATATTATCTTTTTGAGATTTTTTCTTTCCTATACCATATATGAAACTTTATTACCAAAAATGTGCATAGTTTCTAATTTATCCGCCCTGTCTACATTTTTTCTACAGTTATTATACCAATCATTAAATACTAATTAATAGTAGCTGAATATTCCTAATTTGTCGAGCTAAAATTGAGGAACAGAATATTCTAAAAAGATTTTGCGTAAATCAGATCAAATCATATTCTTCCAGATATTCCTATTTAGGCGCGCTACAATTATGGAAGTAAATATTCTTCCAGATATTTTCCACCATTGATAGCCATTAAAAAGTTTGAAAGCTTTGAATTCAAATTTGGGTTTTCAAAAATTATTATTTGTTTGGATTGGGTGTTGTTGAAAATAATCGGAAAAATGGTTTGGAGTTTATATTTCAATTTTGAGGGGTTTTGGTGAAGATTAGACTTGGTTTTGACTGAATTTCAGATTGAAACTCGAAGAAGAAGAAGAAGAAGAAGAAGAAGAAGAAGAAGAAGAAGAAGAAGAAGAAGAAGAAGAAAAAGAACACATATTGCAGAAATTGTAGATAAATTATAGATTATTTGTATTCTGATTGTAGATGCTTTATTTTCTGTTTTCACAAATAAAAAACGGCTAAAACTTCTACAAATCTTCTGAAAAAACGCAATTATGTCAAAAATCACAATTATGCTACAATTAGATGGGAATTGGGATATAAAAATTTAATGTACCCAGTTTGTAGATATTTTGTAGATAAATTGTAGATTATTTGTATTCTGATTGTAGATGCTTTGTTTTCTGTTTTCACAAATCAAAAACGACTAAAACTTCTACAAATCTTCTGCAAAAAACGCAATTATGTCGAAAATCCCAATTAAGCTACAATTGAATGGGAATTGGGATATTAAAATTCAATGTACCCAGTTTGTAGATATTTTGTAGATAAATTGTAGATTATTTGTATTCTGATTGTAGATGCATTGTTTTCTGTTTTCACAAATCTAAAACGACTAAAACTCCTACAAAATCTTCTGCAAAAAATACAATTATGTCGAAAATACCAATTAAGCTATAATTGAATGGGAATTGGGATATTAAAATTCAATGTACCCAGTTTGTAGATATTTTGTAGATAAATTGTAGATTATTTGTATTCTGATTGTAGATGCGTTGTTTTCTGTTTTCACAAATCAAAAACGACTAAAACTTCTACAAATCTTCTGCAAAAATTTTTTCTACAATTTATCTACAATTTATCTACAATTGCTGCAATTCTTCTTCTTCTTCTTCTTCTTCTTCTTCTTCTTCTTCTTCTTCTTCTTCTTCTTCTTCTTCTTCTTCTTCTTCTTCTTCTTCTTCGAGTTTCAATCTGAAATTCAGCCAAAATCAAGTCTAAATCTTCACCAAAACCCCTCAAAATTGAGATATAAACTCCAAAACATATTCCCAATTATTTACAACAACACCCAATCAAAACAAATAATGATTTTTGAAAACCCAAATTTGAATTCAAAGCTTCAAAGCTTTTTAATGGCTGTCAATGGTGGAATTG